CACACATTTTCACAAAAAATAAGTTTACACTTAAATCAAAAAAAAATTTCTTATTTTCGAACCACACATTCTTCAAAAAATTATTATTCTAAAGTACATTTTAACAAAAAATGGAGCTCAAACAATGGCTTAATAATATTTTTGTATTCAGGTTTTTTTTTTTTTTTTAATATCCAGGTATCCCAACTTACACCAGACTATGTCCGGACCACCCATCCCCGGCCCCTCAGTAATGGGTGGAAGTTAACAGCGGGATACGCCCAAGTTGATCAGGGTCCGTGCACCCTTTATACTCCTGACCCCAAATGAGCCTCCTTCATAGATATTACATCACCAAACTGCTCCACACAAATTGAATATTACAATACTCAACTGCTCCATCTAGGAATCGAACTCCCTACTCTGAGGTTGCAAGTCCAGCAATGCCCATCCTTTGCCAACTCGGATGTGCTCCGAGGGGCTATATTTAGGTTTATTAAGCTCATGTTTGGTGGTCATTGTTTTACAAAAATATTATTTTGAATAATGAATTTTTCGAATATATGTAATTAAGAAGTAAATATATTTTTTTTTTAATTTACTTGTAAAATATTTTATTTTGTGTATGTATGATTGAAAATTTACATGTTAAAAAAAAGAGAGAAGAATTTTGAAAGAGAGGAAGAGAAACATAATAAGTCCATGTTTGAGCCACATTAAATTTTCATTCTCATTCTTTTATTTATTTTCAACCATACATTTTTCAATAAAATAATATTTTTCATCATATCAATAACTTTTCAACCACACTTTCTCTATCAATGTACTATTTCAAAATGCATTTTTTCCAAAATAATATGGCTCAAACACACTCTAAAAAAGTTCTCATATCTAGAGAAATCACGCGGCGCGTGTAGAACTATGTAAACCAATAAACCATAATAATTCTGCCGAAATCCCAGGAGTAACCCACGCGCCGTTATCTCCAGCTATAACAATAACGGTCCCCACAAATAAAAACCTTGTAGTTTGACACGTGGCATTCAGTGCATTAGGGAAGCTGGGCTATAGGTGTGTGGCGTCTCAAAGACATTACCAGTAACCAGGACAAGCAGACCACAAAGTCCAAGCCTCTCTCACATGTTCGAAATCTTCTTACGTCATGCAATCGTCCTCATTAACTTTTAAAAATTGCAAATAAACCCCCAAACAAAATTGCCCAAAACATTTTTTTTTCATGTTTTCATTTTGTCTTGATATAATTACGGCAGATCTCCCTTACATCCAATTTGTGTGGTTTTATAACTCCAACATTCAAAAGTGAGCATTTGAGTTTGGTCAATATGTCAATTTGAATCTTCGCTGCGATGAAATCTGTCAAACGTGAATGCTATAACCATATAAGATTATTACGTGATTTAAAGTTGGGGATAAAATCATCAAATATTTAATGCGGATAACTTGATTAACTGATTTGAAGTTATTTTCACATGGGGTTTTAAGGTCAACGTTGATAGATTCCATGACACGATTTCTCTTATTTAATAGGCCGGGGACCCAAAACTATACTTTTGAAGTTTGGGAGCCAAAACCATACTAACTAGAAAGTAAATGAGTTGAACCCATATTTTTCCTTGTTATTCCATTCCAAGTGGAAATTGTCGAGATTATGATAGTTCAGACATGAAGAATGTGTTTGTCACGATGATGGCTAGGTTTGCATTCTGGTGTGCATGTATTGAGCTCGTAGCCTCCTACACCTCCTTTTGATTTGTATCATTATAGAGTTTGATAAAAATTAGGATGTGATGTCTATTTGTAACTTTAGAAAAGCAATTGATACAATTAACCTCCTATTTTTTAAAACTCATTTTCAATCGCAGAATCAAAATTTTAATTACATATTTTATTAGCTTTATCAAAATTTCCTAAAAATTGATTTTTAGTTAAATCTTATCCCCGTTTGATGGAAATTATTTAGAAAAATAATGTTTTGAATAGTGAATTTTTTGAGAATGTTTGATTAAAAAATAGGAAAAATTTTTAAATTTATGTACGTAACATTTTATCGATATTCATTAGTGTACAAAAATGACTTTGTACTTGTTGGGTAAAGAGCAGAGAGATGCTTGATGTACACTTTTGGGTGTACATCATGCATTACACCCCTCTCACAATGGTGGGGGGCCCGCAATTTAAAAAATCGAGGACCCCACACTCCATTGCGAGAGGAGTGTAAGTCTTAATGCACCTAAGAGTGTACATTAAGACTTATTGTAAAGAGTATATATATTTCAGAAAAGAGAATTGAATTTTGACACAGAACAAATGACAGTACAGAAAATGATATACATGGATGACACACAGATATTAATCTTAATCCCGGTCAAACATTGACCAAAATCTAGAATAGAATTATGGTCCATTTGATTGCAAATGTGGAAAATGAGTGGAAAGAAAATGTTTTACAGGGAATTGATTTGCCTAGAAATTATTTTTACTAGAAATTGTAGTTAATTGTGTTTGATTAGTATAATTTTCCATATAAAATGTTGAAAAATTGGTGTCCATTTGGCTTCGTTTTTATAAAAATTGTCTATTAAAATGATAATTTTTTCTACCGTTTGATATAAAATTTGTTCCAATTGGCAAAAAAAGAAAAAAAAAAATTATCATACCGAATACCATTCGTTTGACTTTGTTTTGTATGGAAATTGTCAATAAAAGTGATAATTCTTTTTACCATTGTGTCTAGAATTTTTCTCAATTGTAAAAGAAAAAAAAAACTGGAAAATGAAAACCCACCAAAAGGTGGGAAAACAATTTCCCCAATTTCATGGAAAATGTTCACGTGTGGGTCTAAGAGAAAAAAAATTTTCCATGGAAAATTTGTACTATCAAACAAGCCAAAAACAAGAATGGAAAAAAATTTCCTACTTCCATGAAAAATGAGGGTTATCAAACGGACCCTTAGGGAAATGTTTGAGTCCCTTCTTTCGTGTCGAATGTATTTCGGAATATAGATTGATGGGGAATAAGCGGTTGAAAATGAAGGAAAAATATTTGGATTACATATAATATTATTTAATTAAAAAAATGTATAGTTGAAAAGAAGATAAAAAAAATGTATTTTGAAAAAAAATGAGAATCAAACAAGGTCAAGATAAACGAATCATGCTACTTGACTAAAGATTTTAAAAGTCAAAGTAATTGACTTTCAGTTGCAATTTAAGTTATTTATTGCAATTTTTAATCCAGGGATCAAAATTAGGGAACCAATATTTTAGCCAAATTTAGGGTGTAATTCCATTTTGATCGTTGCCTTTAATTAAACAGAAAACCTACCGATTGGACTAAATAAACTATATCATCTTCAATATATTAAGACTTATGAGTTCGAGTTTTACGATTACTTGTTAGAAAATTGTGTAAATATGTTACTAATCCTCTACTATAAATATTTCGAGTTCGAGTCTTACCAATGTATATCGCGAGTCTGGAAGAATTAATAGAAGACGAACTAAGCCTCGAGCACTAATCATGATGTACAAGCATTTGCAGTGTTGTAAAAGTTCACTCTCAAATCACTTATACATATTTTCAACAGTACATTTTTTAATAAAATAATATTACGCGTAAATTCAAAATTTTTTCTTATTTTTTAACAATACATTCTCCACCAATCTACTATTTCAAAATGTGTTATTTGCCAAATAATGGGATTCAAACAAGTGCTAAAATTTAAAATAGACATTCAATGTTTTTGGTGGGTAATGTACTAATTCCAAGGCATACATGAATAAGTCTTAATGTACACTTTTGTGTACATTAAGATTTACACTCCTCTCACAATGGATGGTGGAGCCCGTGATTTTTTAAATTGCGGGCCCTCCACCATTGTGAAATGAGTGTAATGCATGATATACATCAAGCATTGCTCGGCATACATTTATATAAACATTGTGTATATATTTTTATTGTATAGTGAGATATTAGAGTTTGTTTGAGCTTTTTTTTTTTTTAACAAAAGTATATTTTAAAATAATGATTTTATGGAGAATGTGTGGTTAAAAAATAAGAATTTTTTTTGAATTTGCGTGTTATATTATTTTATTAAAAAATTTGTGATTAAAAAGAAAAGAGAAAAATATATTTTAAAAATAATGAAGATAAAATGTGGTATTTATTCCTGGAAGGCGGAAGCTTTGCTTCCTGAAGCAAACAACATATTACTGGTGAGGGAATGGTTGCGTGCTAATTCTGTTTCCTGTTTTGGGGTTCTTCGAGTGAAAGGAATCAGAGTCTATTCTCTTGCATTAATTCTCTCTCTCATCTCTTCACAACATAACAAAGGCCTAAGACAAAACAAAAACAAACTCTAGTAGGGGATAGACTGTACAGTATAGAGACACAGTAAGAGTGTGTGTGCAGTGTGCATATATATTTATGTATCATGTATGTATAGGAGAGAGAACTTGACAAGATAGCACTCGCTCAGCGTGCCAAAAAATAAGGCATAAAAGCAAAGATCACAATCCTGGAGCTATAATACCCCCCTGGGCCTGCCTTTTTTTTCTTAGGGTTTATCTTTGTTCTTGGTGGGGTTTCTTTAGTGCTTGTTGTTTTATATTTCTGTTTCTTTTGTGAGTTTTATAGCTTTTATATTGAAATAACAAGTCCCTTTTAAGACTCTTAAGGGTTGCTCTTTAGCTTTGATTCTTGTGTTCATTTCTTGAGTTTTGTGGGTTTGGAGGACAGAAGCTTGCGTTTTCATGATTTTGAAGATGTGGGTTTTTATCAATCTAAGCTTTGGTTAAGCATTTCGAGGTACTTTAAGCACATGCACTGATCTTTGCCCTTTTCCTTAGCTTAATCTTTATATTTTGTGCATTATGATGCAGTTACTGCTAAATAAGCATTTTGGGTACTTGTTCCCATTTTTTTTGCAGCAAGAACTTCCTAATTGATTACTCATCCTTGAGCTGAAACTTGAAAGACAGTCTGCTTTAATTCACCAATAAATGGAGGGCTATTCAAGAAAAGATGTGGGATGTCCTCAGTTGCTTGATTTGATTCCAAAAGAGAAGGAATGGCTTGTGAAAAGTGCAGAAGAAACAAACCATGGACTTTCAGAGGAGAAAAAGCTTGAGCTAAGACTTGGTCCACCTGGTGGAGATTGGACATTCAAACAAATTAATGGTCCCAAAAATGAGTCTCTGCTCTCTTTTGGCTTCTTCCCTAACACCACCGCCGGCGCAACCACCACCAGTGCCCCCACTCCATGGCAACACCAAGCAAAGGCTTCATTTTTTCCCCTTATGGAAAAGAAATCGTGTAGAACAGTAGAGTTGCAGGGTGCAGAAAAGAAGGCATTTTCACCTGCAAATAAGGCAGTGCCTAACAGCAGCAATGCTCAGAAAAGGTACCTCAACTTTTTGTTGTTTTAGTACTTCAAAAAAGTTAAGCAGAAAATACAAATCTTTGAATATGCACACCTCCCAGAAATTCCCATCCCTGCTCCATGCATGTAGATGTAAATCAATCTGGCGATAATTTTTAGATTTTTGTATGTTTGCCTGCCTTGTATTTATGTGTTGTCGATCCTTATCCTCTCTATCGTGCATTTGTCCAAGGGCGTTCCTCTCAACTATGTGTCTGTCTGTACAAATATTCATATTTCATATTAATAATTAAGTTACTTCCTGCAGCTGTCCTGTGAATATTCATTTAATATGGTAATAACCCTGTAAGTAAGGAGGTCAATTTTTCAGCATGCTGTAGTTTTTGCCGATTAGATTTATGGGTGCCTCTGCTTAACTTTAGTAAATGCTTTATGTAAAGATTGGTTGTGGCTTACTTAGATCCCTTAAATCACCTTCTCCACCAAGTGAAATCAAGACGCCAATGGAAAGCAAAATGGGGGGAAAAAAACACCAAAAATTGTATTCATTTTGATACATTTGATAAATCTTCATGGACAAACTCATCATGTTATTGAATTGCGTTGACGAGACATAATCATCTGTATTGGTTCTTGATAATTTAGTTATAATTTTGATTTGCCAGGCTTTGCTATAAAGAGTGAATGTAATTTTTAGTTGGCCATTAACAAATCTTTGTTCTATTGTGGTGCCTCATCTGTAAAAAAACAATAGAACTGCTCCTGCTCCAGTGGTGGGATGGCCTCCAATTCGTTCGTTTAGGAAGAATCTTGCAAATGGCAATTCTTCTAAATTATCCTCTGAGTCACAGAGTGTGGTCCCGGACAAAGATTTCAGCAAAAAACCTATTGAAAATTGCCCCAAAAGTAGGTTTGTGAAGATAAACATGGATGGTGTTCCCATTGGAAGGAAAGTGGATCTTAAAGCGTTCAATAGCTATGAAAAACTCTCCTCAGCCGTTGATGAACTCTTCAGAGGTTTACTTGCAGGTTACTATCCGGCAAATGATTTATAATACTGCTTTAATCTAGCGAAAGTTGAATTATCACATATCTCATATTGATGCTATCGGGTGCAAAGTTAAACATAACCAAGCCTTGTCAGAGCGCATGATGTATTTATGTGTGGATCACGTGTTTAACTTTTTTGATTAATCATGTTTACCTACTCTCGAAAGGTTCACTTTTAGGTTAGGTAAATAGACTCGTGTATTAGTAATATATTTACCTTTAGTCGGAAGAGTTACTTTCGAAAAATATAATCATAGTGAGAAAAGAATAAGTAATCCACTTAAAAGTAACCTTTTTTTGTAGGCTTAGCCATGCATCCTCCAAATCTAAATATAGATGCATGTTTCTTTGAAAATCTGACTGGTTCACTTGTTTTTCATTTATCTTTGTAGCTCAAAGTGATTCTTCGACGAATGGTATCGAAAACGAGTTAGAGGAAGAGAAAGTGATAAGTGGTTTGTTGAATGGAAGTGGGGAATATACCCTTGTTTATGAAGATAATGAAGGGGACAGGATGCTTGTTGGAGATGTCCCGTGGGAGTAAGCATCTTACCTCCTTGAATCTGATGCAATTTTATTTTTGTCCAGTTCTTTTTCATATTCTGCCACTTGGTTCTGGGGTTTTCGGAAATAGAAAGGATGGCACATTTGTTCTTCTTGGTTTGGCGTTCTGTACCTAAATTCCCTGCCCGATATATTTTATTAATTGCGGTTTTATTATTCAAAACATACTCCAGAAATTATATTTTTTCGTTAATGAATCAAAGTCGTCATCCTTAGAAGTGCCGAAATGTATTTAAATTTAAGAGACTCAGTGAATGCTTATGGCAGTTTACCTGATCTGTCTTGCAAAAATCTCACTTGTGATGGTATGTGGCATATAAGCATTGTGCTTATTACAATCAAGTTCACTCGTAGATTCATGACTCAGTTTTCGATGGAATTAGACTGCTAAAACACCATTTTTTTATTTTTTTGTATATCTTGTTTGCAGCATGTTTGTATCAACTGTGAAGAGGCTGCGTGTACTGAAAAGCTCTGAACTTCCAATGCTATCCTGTGAGTTCTATTTTCAGTTGCGTGGATGGTTTTTTTTTTTCAGTGTAATGAAGCACGGTTGTGACTAATGGAAAATTGAATCATTGTTCTTTGCAGGTGGAAGTAAACCGGGAAAGCTCTCTCTCGACGGTTCAATCTAATGATGCAGAAACAACACCATTACGGAATCTAAATACAGAGATTGTAGGGGCACTACTTTGTGTTTGTTTCAAACTCATGGATAAACAATTAATATGTTTTAAAACCAAAAGAAGGGTCATTGATCATTTGATCAAACTCCCAGTACTAGCCATTTTCTTGAATTTTGGCCTTTGGAATGCTGTAAAAAGAAAAGATGAAGCTGCATATCTTCTTGTACATGCTTTATCGCCTGAGAACTTCCAAATAATATGGTATATTGTGAGGCTTTTATTTCTTATGGCAGCAACTTTTATGAATCTTGATTTTGTTTCGAAGGCAAGAAACTGTTAATTCTAGGATTTTACCAGACCAGTGGTATTAGGCGTAGGTATCAATCTTGTACGCTCCAACCAAAAGTTTTCATCCTGTGTTTCCAGAAAATGTTTTTCAGTTGCTATTAAACTTTGCCTAGAATTTATTTGCGTGTTTGATTAGTTTAATTTTTAATCTAGAAAATATTATACTATTCATCTTTTATTGGTGGGTAGATGAGATGGGAGAGAGGGGTAGATGAGAGAGAGAGTAAGTGAATTGTCAGAAAATAAAAATCCATCCCTCCCTAAAAAATATATATTACTTGTTTTTGAGAAAAAATTGATTGTGACAAACTTTTAGAAAATATTTTTTGTTGAAAAAATGTCGATCAAACATTTCTAAAGTAGAAGTCGATGAAAAATGTTATTTTTCATGAAAAATAAAGTTAATCAAATACACAATAAAGTTTTTAGAGTTGTTTTTGACTTTCTAAAATTTGTGTGAGTTTATCATTAAACTTCAAAAATTCATCGAGTTGTTATTGAAGTTCAAATTTTTGTTCCATTCGTGACTCTCTCGACTTGTATTTTAAAATGTAACAGATTTGATGACATGATAGATAGTACTTCACACTAACTTCAAAAGCATCCGTCGATTATAAGGTTTTTTATTATTATTTTTATTTATGTTTGAGTAAATTCCTAATTTATGATGATGCTACCAAAAAACGTACTTGTCGACTTCCGAGGTTGACGACTGAGAATGAGTACGATCGAGGCTTTTCGGTACCTGAAACAAATGCGTCGAGATGTGTCCTCGTCGCCCCTCCGATACTTAAGTTAGAGAGAGAATTTGTGAGAAAATATGTGTTGGAGGTTGTATGGAAAAACGTACCTTACTAATGAATTTGCACCTCGTCGCCCCTCCGATACTTAAGTTAGAGAAAGAATTTGTGAGAAGATATGTGTTGGAGGTTGTATGGAAAAACGTACCTTAGTAATGAATTTAAATGATGTATTTATAGGTAGTTAGTGTATTCCTAGTAAGATTACAATGTTGAAATCCCTAGGAGTTCTAATGTAATTGGGAGTGGTAACTCAATTGGTTTTGCATAATCCATGCACTTGGATAAGGGTAGGACTCTGATGGTAGAGTCCTTTCAGGATGAGGAAACATGTTAACATCAAGATTCTCTTCCTCTTAGGTTTGGATAATAAGCTTTGACGAGAGGGAGAGCCATAATAAGTCGGGGGCTGCACGAGATGAGGTCTTGTCGTGACCTTGAGGGAGACATAGTGGTCTGGGATGTACAACCCCGACCATAAGGTCATGTCGAGTTGGACACAACCTGGAAAAGGCATCCTCGGGCACGGTCCTCGGGCTCCTCGAACATTGGGATTATCAATGGCCCCCGTGTATCCATGCCTAAGTCTCGTGCTCGAGATTCTAGGATGTGATGCATATAATAATAATGGGAACATCAAACCTCGGGCATAGCGGTCATGCGTTGTCTGAGAACGATCAGTCTTTGAAGTTAGACTGAGCAGTCGTGGGAATAGGCTACTTAGCCTTTGAAATGTGTTGCACAGCTTTTGAAATGGGTTACACAACCTTTGATGTGGGCTGTACGGCCTTTTAAATGGACTGCTCAGCCTTTGAAATATGTTGTTAAGCCTAAATGGGCTGTTCAGCCTTTCAAATGGTATGCACAGCCATGGAAATGGGCTGTTCATCCTTCGAAATGGGTTGTACAACCTTTCAAATGGACTGCACAGCCATGGAAATGGGTTGCTGATAAGTGTATTTTATACACTTATTCGGGGTCTAAAATAACAATATTTGATAGTTATTTTTACAAAATATATCCTAAATTGTTGTATTTTAAGTTATATAGGTAAAACTCAATGGTTGAACGAGAAATTGAAAGAAAGAACCGAAAAATGGTGAAAAATGACAAAATCCAAAATTTGATTATCAAATTGCAAATTCAATAGTTGATTTGGACCACAAGATGATATTTTGAAGATTTCTAGGTGACAATTGAGTGGAATTAGAACTCAAAAATGAATGGAATATTATCACAATCAATGTCCAATCGCACAAGTTATATTCCAAATTTTTAGTCGAAAATTGAGACCCCTTTTTGGTATAGTAAACGTCCGAATTGAGAAATTTCTATTTCTATCAAAATTGTAGCCCTTTAAGTTATATTTCCAAAGAACTTTGAATCCCTTCAATCGAATATCAGATGAGAAATTTATAGCCGAAATACTGACTGCTGTGTAGAGATAAAATCTGCGCGCGAATGCAACTTTCCTTATCCGATTAGAACTCTTTTGAAAGTCAATTTGGATGTGATTTTCCACCAATTTTTGACTGTTACAAATACATAACAGCAGAATACATATTGGGAACTCTTATGTACATATTATACTCCATTATTCATCAATTATTATCATCAAATGAGGAGAATTCATAATTTTTGTGAGAGAATTGATGAGAATTTGCAAGAATTCATTCAAGTAAAGATCCAAACCTAATTTTTGGGCAAAGAAGAGAAGCGTAAGTGGAGATTCATCAAGAAACCATTGAAGAGATTCAAGATTTCAAGACTCATCTTCATCTTCTCAATTTATCAAAAATTCGAGTGATGTTTTTTCACTTAAATATGATTTCTTGTAATATCAATATGTTGGGCTAATTTATACATTGATGGGATGAGATGAACCATTGTTATGATATTTTTAGTTTTTAATTAATTATTTTGACTTTAATTTGATTTGATTTGATTTATGGATGTTTATTATTGATTTATCGTTCTTTTCAATTGTTTGATCACCAATTGAATTATTAGTAGGTTTTATTATTATCAAGAGAGACAATAGGATTTAAGCATAATATAATAAATATTGTAAGGTTTGATATAGAATAAAGATATACCTCTATACTTTATATGATTTCATTAGGTGTTCTAGTACTTGTTAATGCGTTTATCATGTTTGTATCTTTCATCGAGAGATAGAAATGTCACATGAGGGTATTTGATCGTTATCAAGAGAGGCTTTCAATTAAATTAGGAACATTGACCACCATAAATTATTTCAAATTGTCAATTTAATTGTTATACTAAAAATGGGGGATTCGACATCTTAGCAGTACTTTCACATATTTGAATTCAAATCAGTTAAATTATTTTCTAGCTTAATTGATAATTTAGGGATTAGTATAAAAAATCACAAAATTTGCTTGCTATCGATTAAAGTTGGAATTAATTTTAACTCGATCAAACACATACTCCTCATGGGTTCGACACTCTATTAACTACTTTATTACTTGTTCACGATCCCGTTCACTTGCGAAAAATCAAACGATCAAGTTTTTGACGCCGTTGTCGGGGACTATTGTATTTTATTAGTTTAAATTAATTTTAGCTTTAATTCGAATTTTTATTGCTTATTTATTTTTAATTTGATTACTATTTTAATTAATTTTAGTTTTAACAATTTTTTGTTACTTATTTCTTTTTTTTTTTATATATTGTT